CCGTTAAAACAACACTTACTTGAATTAATTAAATAATTAATTTTGAATTTAAATAATAATAATAATAATAACAATAATAAAGTTGCATAAAAAATATTAACTAATTATTTTATGGTCAAATTTTGGTTTCCCTTCATATTTTCCATCATCTATTTTGTTGAAATTTTCATACTAAATGATTATAATCTACTAACTACACTAATATATATATATATATTTAAACTCGAGTCTAATGATATTTAGCTCGAAAGCTCGTCGATTTTTATCGAACTTAAACAACTTGCGAGCTGGCTCGACTCGCCTTATTTACACCTCTAAATGGTTGAATGTGTTTTATGTTGGTTTTTCAACTATTTTCCCCTTCACCCATGTCTGATATTTCTTTAAAAAATATTTATATAGTTTAGCCCTCTTCTATTTATTAATCCTGGTTTTACCCCTCCTAACAAGTATCCTTCAGAAGTACACGTGCCACATAGATAAATCCATTGCTTTACATGTGCGTAATGTTAACTTCTGTACACACTGACCTTACAAGTTAGCTTGCAAAAGCATATAGCTTTCTTTCTCTTCCTCACTCTTTAATTTCTAGTTAATTTGATGTTGGGATATTATATTGGATCGTATGGTAGGTCCTGGCTGCTCTTCTGCTGGAGCTGGAGCTTTCTCTGGGCGTGGTCCTTTCAGGCCAACTGGAGAGGGCAATTTGGTCAGAAACGAATACAGTTGGAATAAAGGTACCACTTTTTCTTTTGTTTTTAACTCTATTTTCTTTAGTCTTTTCTTTTATTCCTTCCTTCGTTAGCTGACCAAATAGAAATTACATTCAGGAATTGGAGCCACAAATACTGATCCGATGGCATCCAATGGCAGCTAATTCATTGCTTGTAAAGTACTTGTGTTTTGATATTTTTTTAATATTATGAACTAAACAATATTTTTTTAATATTTAATATTTAATATTTAATATTTATTTTTGATAATCCTCTAATAGATAATATAACTTTTATTGACACATGATCTTAAATTATATAACGTAAATTTTCAAACATTTTTTAACAAAAAATAAATCAAAGAACGTGTTTTGGAATAATATAACTGATCAATTATTTAATTATTCTTTAATTAAAAAAAATAAAAAATGAAGGTTAGAATCTAGATATTATATACTGTAATTTTTTTGGTCAATTTAAACAGTAAAGCCCACCCACACATCGTCTCTATTATTTTATTGTTCCTTTGGAAAAATTGGCTAAAAAACAAAAAGGCGGCATGTATAGTACCCAAATGTCTTATTATCTGATAGGCTTGACACGCTGGCCCCATTACTTTTGTTGTCATGTCATTTTTTCCATGGAATAACAAACGGACCGAGGACAGAACAATCAACCCACTTAAGTAACCGAAGCCTAATCAAATGCATTCCCTCTTTGTCTCATTGAAAGGCTATAATTGTCAAATCAGAAACCAAATAGTGTTTCTATAAACAGCCAAATTGGCTTCCATTTTTCTATATTTGTATATTTCTTAATATAAATTTTAAAATATATATATTTTTTAAACGTATAATTAGAAATACTTTTATTTTAATAAAAAATTTTATTTTTATTATTTTATCAATAAATGAAACATAAACCTAATTTAGACAAGTCAATCCCATTTATAAATTATTGGACGGTGAAACTCATTTTGCAGGTAATCAATTGATTTCGGTTAAGTTGATTTGTGATAGGTCTACCATATATTACATTATACATCTTTTAATTGTTTAATTATTATTAACTGGTATAATTATATATATGGTGCTTAAATTTTGTCAGTTTTTCTATTTATTATCTAAAATTTGTCATTTAAATCCATTTGGTCGGCTATCTAATATAAATATCTGCTAAGTTGAATATTTGTAATTTTTGCATACTAACAAACCTGACTACACTGTAATTCTGCAACTCATATAATCATATTAAAATTGTAATATGAGATTTCCTATTTCAAGTTTCAAGCCTTAACTACACTGTAATTCTGCTTACAGGAAATATATTTTAAATTTAGTTCTTTAGAAAAAATCATGTAGAAAACATATAAACTATGAACTGAACTAAAAAAATTTTTGCATAATTGTAATGAATCATAACTGTATATGGAGAGCAGAGCTAAAATTACAGCTTTCTTGTTTATATATGCAGAAGCAAATATAATACACCTGGAATCACCAGCAAGAGTTGGCTTCTTTTATTCTGCTAATGCATCTTTCTATGACTCTGTAAACGACACTATCACAGGTTTGGATATGCTTTCCTACTGCAAAATATTTATGATATAAAAATATATAATTACTATTCATTTTGGTATTTACTTATTTATGTTTTCTCTTTAGCACAAGACAATCTCATATTCTTGCAGAAGTGGTTCAAAAAATATCGTAAGTATAAAAAGAGAGATTTCTTTATTCCTGGAGAGAGCTATGCTGGTAAAAACAACTTATTGGAAATAGTACTAAGACCATTTGATGAGCAGCAATGAACTCTATTTTTTTTTTAGCAGGTCACTATGTCCCACAACTCGCGAAGCTAATTGTTCAGTCCGGGTTACAATTCAATTTGAAGGGCATTGCTGTAAGTACAAGTGCTTATTTAAAAACCAAAAGGATTATTTTTCTTTTTATGCCAAATTTTTCTTTCCAACGAGTACATAACAATTCTGATTATTCATCCTTTTTTCCAGATAGGAAACCCTTCATTAGATTTCAGCATAGACTCAAACGCACGAGGCGATTACTACTGGTCTCATGGGCTGATATCAGATTCTACTCATCCACTTCTCACTTCAGTTTGTAACACATCACAGCTACTGAGAGAGGCCACAATAATAGGGTCATTATCACCTGTTTGTGCAGCTGTAGCTGTTCAATTTACTAAAGAACTTTCTGATTCTATTAATGGCTACGATGTTACTGCTGATGTCTGCGTTCCTGAAGGGAATTCAAAACTCAAACTCCACAATAATCTACTGAGACCAGATTTTCTAGTTTCATTATCCACTCAGTTACTGCAGAAAGAACTTAATCATCATGCAGTAAGTTCTCTACAAGAATCACTAATTTCTCTCAGCCGTTTTACATTGAAATAATTAGAATGGACTTTTTATTATACAGAAAGCGCCAGAGAATATAGATGTTTGTGCAAGCAAAGGCTTTTGAATACTTGAACAAAAAGGAAGTGCAAGAAGCTCTTCATGCCAAGCTCATAGGAGTAGCCAGTTGGACTAACTGCAGCGAGTAAGTAATTATTCTTCGCTCTTTAAGATATGATTTTTATTTATTCACTGAGAGGCCAAATGAGCAGAATAATACTGTGAGCTATACAACAGAAGGTAATATTTTTCTTTAACTCATCAAATTATACAATAGAAGGTAACACTTTTCTTTAACTTATCAAATTAGTGAAAACTCTCGTAAATATATAAATATTATTACTTTCTAAATTTATTGTTTTTGGAAAAAAACTAACATACAATGATAGATATATAAATATGCGCCAACACCCATATTGTAGAATGTTGTGAAGCACTGGACAATTCAATTTTTAATTTTTTTGCAAGTAATTTTAATGAATTTTTTTATTTATTTTAAACTAATTTTTTATTGATAGTTTCTAAGATCTATGTAATTATAGTTCAGGGTACTGGAATATGATAGGAAAAACCTAGAGATATCTATGATTGATGTTGTTGGCTCTCTGATCACTTCAGGAATCCGGGTCACAGTGTACAGGTATATACTTAATTTTTTTTAAAAAAAATATTTATTTCTTTTCTAAAGCTAGAGCAAAAAGACCTTTTTTAAGTCATTTTAACTCGATCTAAAAAGTAACTGTATAGTGGGGATCAAGATTCAGTTGTTCCATTTACTGGGACAAGGACTTTGGTAAATGGTTTGGCAAAGAAGCTGAGATTGAATACAACTACCACTTACAGAGTTTGGTTTGAAGATAAACAGGTTGCTCTGTTGTTATGACTTCAGGAAATATATATATATATATATGACTTCAGGAATTTTTTTTTCTGAACTTGTTATTTGTTATTTGTTTGCTTTTTAAGGTTGGAGAATGGACATAAGTTTGTGGAGAAATGTTAACGTTTGCAACTATCAGAGGAGGCTCTCATTTGTCACCTGTTTCATCACCAAAGAGATCATTAGCACTATCTAAAGTATTTCTTAGTGGGGATCCACTTAGCTAATTATTTAGTACTTCTGGGGTTAATGCATTTTCATATGCATAACTATGATAGCAATAAATGCTTTTATGATTTAAACAAACCTCATGTGCTCATTTTTCCCTAATTGAGAATATGATTAATGGTTTCAAGAATATATAGTTTTACTCAATACTCCAACCTTTTTCATTCTTATATCTAATGCAATAAAGTTGATCATCTATCTATTGATCGTATAAGAGCATCTCCAATATTAATGCGGACTGTGGTTGATGTGTTATATGGAATAAAATGTGTGAATAATGATGCGGTTGAATGTCTATTTATAGATGTTCAATTTTAAAAGCTCATCTCTAATATATTGGTTTTTAATCCTCTTCCATTCTCTTTTTTTCTTTTCTTTTCGGGCCTACGATTCACTATGCAATCAATTATTGTAGAGCAATATTCACATTGTCTAAAAAACCCTCTAGAAATAGAAGGTGTGATACATAATGTCTATTTATTTTTTTGACACGTCAGCTTGACATTCTAAATAAACATTAGCATTGGATAGCATTTTTCAAAAAGTCTTTTCATTTTTCTGATATAACAATTAAATAAAAGTAATCCACATTATCATTGGAGATGCTCTTAAGTTTTTTTGGCGCTCTCCATTTTGGATAGAAATCAAATATAACAATGAATAGGAAATTAAGCAGGAATAGTCAATACTCGATAGTTTCCATTTAGACTTAAAATTCTTTTTTCCATAAGGAATCATAGGAAATGAAGAAGATAATACATATATTTTTAATCAGAGAAAATTATTAAGTAAATTGAATATATAAAAATATGCATTACAGAATCTACATTTATGCGTATGAAAATGCACAACACAAGTACTCAATAAGTGGATTTCCAGTAACAAATGTTTTAAATAGTGCTATATAAAATATGCATTGCAGAATCTACATTTATGCGTATAAAAATGCACAACACAAGTATCAATAAGTGGATTCCAGTAACAAATGTTTTAATAGTGCTAATGATCTTCTTGTGATGAAAGAATTTGTGCACAAGACAACGTACTTATAAGTGGATCTCCAGTAACAAATGTTTTACATAGTGCTTAAAATGATCCTATAGTGCTAATGATCTCTTTGGTGATGAAAGAGGTGTCATATGAGAGCCTCCTCTAATAGTTGCAAATCTTAAAATTTCTCCATAAACTTGTGTCCATCCTCCAACCTAACAAAACAAACAAATAAATAAATGAAAAGCTAGGGAAAAAAAAATTCAAGAACTAAATTCATATATGATATTTAATAACAATATTCAACATTATTTTTTTCAATATTTTTTAAGTTTAACTTATTTAAATGACTTTTTTTTTATTCATTAGAAAGCTCAATTGATCGAAACAACCTGATTAGCTACACAATTGGGTAATCCTTTCATTGACTTATCAAATTAATGAAAACTCTAGTGATTAAGAGGACTAGAGTTTGTTACATCCAACGAATCACATTAGTGAGAAAACTAACCAACTACACAGATATATTTTAAAAAAAGTTAAAATTCATTTAAGGTAATAATTCAAACTGAGTGTAAACATGACCCTGAAATAGGTTATTTCGCTGTCCAAATCCTCAAAATTACTCATTCATAAGAATAGGGCTAAGACCTATGCCAAACTAGAACTCTAGATTGTGACAAAAATCTTATTGTCAAACATTTTCTTACTGGGACTACCAACAAGCATGGACTAATGTCTTTCTAGTCCAAAACAAATACAAAAAACATTCTTCGCTCTTCTTCCTTGGCTCAAAAAGCCAGCAAGTTGACATGATCAAGACAAAAATCCCATTTTGGTTCTCCAATTGGTGGAAATGGTATGGAGCTCAAAATAATAAATGGTGTGCCCAAAATAATACTATGAGAAATATCTTGTGCAATGAGAAAAGAATTTCGAATATAAACACCATTACTAACAATGAAAACATTTATCTTTTACTTGATTCTTAAAGGAGTATCATTAGCTGTTCTCAACTCCTCATCTATTTTTTAGAGAAAGGTTGTAGGTATAATTTCTTCTTTAATAAAATTACATCAACCCCTATATCAAAGAGTGCAACAACATCAATTTGAAAATCTTTTTGAAAAAAAAAAATGCTTTTTGTTGAAAATGATTTTGCAAACTTAATAATGTGACTTTGATCAAGTACTTTCGAGAGGTAACTTTTTGCAAAATACAAACAAAATCAATTGGAATCTTTTTAGATTTTTGTAACAAAAGCATTTGTTCTTGATCAATACTCTTTTATGAGGTTTGATCATTACAATTAAACTTCATTTATGCAAAAACGGATTTGTGGAAAATTATTACGAATGGATACATCTTGGTGAACCTCGGGTTTCCAGTGGGTCAGGCCACTCTGTTTCTGTAAGTTTAGAGAGTCAGCTTTTGCAATTTGAGTATGGTAATTGATGCAATGATATGGTAATCGATACGGCTAATACGGCTAGAGCAGCCATTCCCATTGGGAACAATATGGAGGAACCGCCAACTATGCAGTATAACATTGTTTGACATTGTTTGACATGCTAAGTGCAGCTAATAGTGAACTGTGGCCTGGATGTAAGAATCATTCAGTTCTATCTGTAGTGGCACGATTACTGCACATGAAATCGAAGCACCATTTTTGAGAAAGGTATTACGATGATTTTGTGCAATTATCAAATGAAATATTGCCTGAAGGCCATTCGATGGTGGATAATCTTTACCGGACAAAAAAATTAGTTTGGGGATTAGGACTACCAATGAAAAAGATTGATTGTTGTCAAAATGATTGTATGATATGCTGGGGTGTTGACTCTGAATTTAGAGTATGCAAGTTTTGTAATCTTCCAAGATATCAAAGGCAGAGTCAAGGACTAGTAGAGTACAAAGAGAGAAGGCTTTCAAGAAGATGCATTATTTCCCTCTTGTTCCTCGCCTTCAAAGGTTATATGCATCTAAGGCGACAGCTGAACACATGAGATGACATGCTTTGCATGAATATGAGGATGGTATGGTATAATGACCATCCGTCAGACTCTAAGCTTGGAACACTTTGATAACGATCATCCTGGGTTTGCCTGCTTAAGATGCAGAGATGTGAGTTGGGGCTTGTACTGATGGGTTCAGCGCGTTGGCCAATCAGGACAACATATTCATCATGGCTTGTCATTTATAACACTACATAATCTACACCGCTCATGTGTAAAGTGGAAAGATGAATACATGTTTTTATGTGTTATTGTACCTAGCCCTAATAATCTGAAATACAAAATTGATGTGTTTCTGCAACCTTTGATTGTTGAACTTAATGATTTATGGGAATATGGGGTTAAAACGTTTGATATTTCGGCCAATCAGAATTTCATAATGCGAGTTGCTTTGCTTAGGACCGTCAGTGATTTTTCAGCATTTGGAATGTTATCTGGGTAGAGTACGACAGGCAAATTGGCTTGTCCTCGTTGCATGGAAAACACTAATGCATTTACACTAAAAAACGGAGGTAAAAAATGTTGGTTTGATTATCATCGGAAATTCTTACCAGAATTTCACGTTTGGAGGCGAAATCGACAATGCTTTAGCAAGAACACGACTATTGCCGATCCCCCTCCACCTATGAAGTTTGGAGCTGAAATATTATAAGAAATTGAAGGTCTAGGGCTTATGAAAGTTATAGATTTAGGTGCAGAAGAGGTAAATAGTAGAATTGGCCGGAATAGTGAATGGAAAAGCGAAGCATCTTTTGAAATTTGCCATACTGGAGTTCACTTCTTATCTGTCATAACCTTGATGTAATGCACATAGGAACAAATGTGTTTGAAAATTTGGTCAACACTGTCATGAACATTGAGGGGAAATACAAAGAGAATGCAAAAGCGAGAGCAGACATGAAGGAAATTTGTCATTAACTAGAACTCGAGCAATCTTTAGCTACTAGAAAGTTTCCAAAGACTGTTATTCTTTAGATAAACCCTAAAGGCAAGTATTATATGAGTGGGTCCAATCATTGAGGTTTTCAGATGGAAACGTATCAAATATGGGTAGATGTGTCGACATGAGGAAATACAGATTATTTGGCATGAAAAGCCACTGTCATATTTTCATGCAAATATTGATTCTTGTGGCATTCCATGAATTGTTGCCAAGGAAAATTTGGGAAGCAATGACAGAGTTCTCTTTTTTAAGGAATTGATGATGACTGTTATCCGATGCTATGATATGACGAATTAGCGCAAGAAATCCCAATAGTGATATGCAAATTGGAGTGAATTTTCCTATCCGGCTTCTTTGATTCTATGGAGCATCTACTGGTTCATTTGCCCTATAAATGTCGTATAGCAGGACTGGTACAATATAAACGGATGTATCCATTTGAGAGGTGAATCACTAACATCCCATTCTAATCATTACAATATTCATTCAACTCATATTTACATATTGTCTTTGTACAATTATAGACACCTGCACAAAATAAAAAAGAACGTGCGCAATAAGGCAAAGGTCGGGGGATCAATTTGCAATGCATATTTGGTGAAAGAAGCTTCCACCTTCTGTTCATACTACTTCAAACCACATGTTTATACCAAGCATCGGAGAGTGCCACACAATTATGACGGAGGAGATCGAATAGAATCTGAGTTAGAAGGGAATCTAACAATTTTCACCTATCCTGGCCGTACGATTGGTAAATAAAAAAAATACGATTGGTAAATAAAAAAAAAAAAGACGATTGATTGATGCAGAGATACGAGCGGCTCAAACCTATATTTTATTGAATTGCAAAGAGATTATGGCATTTATACAGTAAGTATAATCTTATAGAGAGTCTAAACTTAATACAGCTCAGTTAAATCATATTTATGATTTTTTTTCATTCATAAACAGGAAATATATCAAGCTTTTACGACTATAAAATTCCAATTTGACTGATACTGCAGTTGATGCAAAACTAGACTCTAAATTTGTAGAATGGTTCAAATGTTATGTAAGTAACTTTCTAGTTAGATAATATATATGTGTACATTCTTATATTTTACTTGTGTCATTACTATTTCCCATAGGCTCGAAGCTCGCGAAGCAATGTTAATAACAGATTCATTAATGATCTAGCAAAAGGACCTCTTCCAGTTGCTAATGCCTACTTGGCTACTTTGTAAATGGTTACAAGTTTCACACTGAGGGATATGGGACAACCAGAAAGTCAATGAACAGTGGTGTTTGCATAAAGGGATCAAACTATAGTGACGAGTCAAATGATTTTTATGGAAAATTGGTTGAGATTTTGGAGTTAGAATATCCAAATGATTTTTATGGAAAATTGGTTGAGATTTTGGAGTTAGAATATCCATCCCTACCAATCAAGTGCACAATCTTATTCAAATGTTAATGGTTTGATCCTACACCAAATGTTGGCATGAAGGTTCATCCTAAGTATAATCTTGTAGATATTAATCATAGAAGAAGATGTACGAAGTATGTTTTGGCGATGCAAGCTGCACAGGTGTACTATGTTCCATATCCATCATTAAAACGAAATTGTTGCGATTGGATGGCGGTATGCAAAATCAAGCCTAGAGCAGTTGTCCATGAAGTTGAAACCAAACAATTGCTTTACTCACAATATTTGAGCCATTTCAAGAAGTTGCGGTTGATACGCAACCGATGCAAGTTATTGAAGATTTAACGGATAGACTGGATGATGAAAGATGATGAAAGCAAAACTTATGTTGAAAATAGGAGCATCAGATGATGAAGAGGAAAGAGAAGATCGATCAAGTCCATGGGTTCTCAAAGACGAAAGATGCAAGAAGAAAGAAGAAGAAGAGAGAAAGAAGAAAAGACAGAAAAGGAGAAGCATGAAGATAAGAAATATTAATGCCAATTATGTATTAATTGGATAATAAATTAATAGATAGTATACATTATAGACCACATAATTTATCAAAGTGAAAGAATTTTTTAATGTTCATTAGCAGGACTTTTCTTTAATACATATTTACCATTAATGTTCTACCCATCGAATTCATATCTTATTGGGTATACAATACATATAATAAAGAGGTTCTGTTCAATTCCTTATAGTAGCAGGAATGGCAGGAGATGTAGCGAGGAATAAGGTGGGCTGTGATTTAGATCGCGATTCCGATGCAAGGGTCATCGTGTGGAGGCAGTCGTGTGATCGGCGGCGCAG